GGCGACCGCGACACGCGCCCTCCGCGCCCAGGGCGGCCGATCGGCGCCGAGGCCCCGCGGGGGGGGGTTTTCCGCCGCCCGGCGGCCGCGCAAGGCGCCGGCGCGCCGACGCGGCGGGAGGCGGCACGGGGGCGGGCTCGGCGTGGGCCGAGCAGACGTCCGAGGCCCTCCAAGGTGGTGGTCGTCGTCGTCGTCGTCGTGTCGGGCGTGGCCAAATGGGGGGGTCCTGCATGGGGGGTCAGGAACAGGAACGGTTCCCTTGCATGCCCCTTTCGGGCCCCCTCTGGAGCCCCAGGGGGCTCGTTTAGGTATACCGTCTGGGTACATTTTCGGACCACCCTCGCCACCCCCCCATTTATGCCCCCTCCATTACGCAACGCCTAACCGACGTGGCGGGAGGCGGCACCGGGGCGGGCTCAGCGTGGGCCGAGCAGACGTCCGAGGCCCCCCAAGGTGGTGGTCGTCGTCGTCGTGGTCCTGGTCGTCGTATCCGGCGGCGGCGCTCTCGGCGCAGTCGTTGAACGCGTCGCCAGCGTCGTCTTCATCGCCGTCGTCGTCGTGGGTCGTGGGGTTTTTCGTATCGGGCTCCGCTCGAATGCGCGCCGAGACGAGGTGGAAAAGGCGAGGAGAAGAAGATCACGAGGGTGGGCAGGATGTGACAAGGAAGGAGGGCGACGAGATCAGGAGTGAGCCAGGGAGAAAGATGGAGGGAAGCAGGAAGGGAGGGTGACAGAAGAGGGAGAAAAGAGGAGAGATGGGAGAAACAAGCGAAAAGGGGGGAGAAAGGGATAGCGGGAGCTGGGGAGGAGGGTGGGAAGGGGCAATGGCCTCGGCGCCAAAATCGGCGCCGATGAGCCACAAATCCTACAGCCCGGAAAGCAGCGCCTCAACCAATATCCGGGCACCGTCGACGCTGCTGCGAGAACGGAAAAGGATGGGAAGAAGGGGGATAGGGTAGGGGGGGCGAGACCATCGGGGGGCTGAGGCCTTTTCTTCTCATCCTCATCACCCCATCCCAAATGCGCTTCTTGATCCTTCCTCCCCTTCCGAGAGAAAGAGAATCAGGAGGAGTAATGAACATGTAAATGGGATGATAACTCGGATGACGAGGGTGGATGAGGATCAACAGAAGTGCGACGAAGAGGAGGGGGCGGAAGTGGAGAAGGAGAGGGAGAGGACCCCAGTGCCGTGCAGGAGCTGATACCAGCTTTGTCATCGACGTCCTCCTACTCATCCAATTCCTGCATCCCCCCACCTCTTTGCAGTCGTCGTCGTCGTCGCCGTCCTCCTCCTTTTCCTCATCGATGCTCTGGCTCCTGCCCCCCCTTTCCACCTCCACCGTCCACCCTGTTTCCATATCCGTCCTTATGTCAGGGTGTGTGTGTGTGTGTGTGTGGGATCCCCGAGTAGGAGTGTCACTTTGAAGAAAAAATGAATTCTGGGAAGTTTTTTTTTTTCAAATTGCTCGATCTTCGAGGGTTTGAAGCGGGAAAACGTGAGAAGGCGAAAGGCATTAGAAAAACCATTGGAAATTAACGATTTGACCCTCTTTGGGCTCTATCGGGACGGCTCTCGCAACTCTCTTGGGCTGTTCTTGGAGCCTCGTCGGGGTCTTTTTGGGGCCTCTCAGGGGTCGGGGGTGCGTTGGGGGCCTCTGGGGGGTCCCGGAGGCCTCTCGGAGGTCTCTGGAAGCCTCCTGCTCCCGCTCTTGGGCCCATCTTGGGCCTGTTCTGGGGTGGTCTGGGGCTGTCCTGGGCGCCTCTTCGGCAGTCTTGGAGTCTTCTTGGCCCGTCTTGGGGCCGTCCTGAGGGTCTCTTGGGTGGTCTTGGAGCGGTCTTGGGCGGCTCTTCGGCGCTCTTGGGCCATTGGAAGCTCGAAAACTCGAGAAGCCAAAAACATAAAAAACAATGGTAATCGACGATGTTGGGCCTCGTCGGGCCGTCCCGGGACGCCTCTCCGACCTCTCTTGGGGTCTCTTGGAGGCCACCTGGGAGCCTCGAGACCCGTCGAAGGCCGACTTGGGCTGCTTGGGAGCGTCTTGGACCATCCTTTCGCATTCTGGGGGCTCCTGTGAGGCGTCTTGGGCCCTCCTGGGGTGCTGTGGAGGCTCCCCGGAAAGGCCGAGGGAGCGGTACCGGGAGCGTCCCCGAGATGTGGCGGAGAGGTGTGGGACCCAGGGAGGGGGGGGGGGCGGTGTGTATATATATATATATGTATATATATATACATATATATATATATATATATATAATATATATATGTGTGTGTATGTATATATATACACATACATATACATGTACATATATATATATATGTATATACACATGCGTACATATTTATATATATATACAAACATATACATGCACATACGTACGTACATACATACCTACAAACATACATACTTACGTAAGTCCATCACATTACATTGCACTTCTGCGCGTTACATTGCATTAAACATGAATTGCATTATATTGCATTGTATTACATTACAATGCATATATATATATATGGATGTAAACATATATACACACACCTACACCTATATATATACACATATATGTATGATACATAAAAATATTTTGGATGCAAGTAAACATATACATATACAAGTGGGAACACCAACCTCAGCGACATACACTTACATAACAAACACCGATAATGCGATACTTAGATAAACGAGAGAGGGGATGAGATAGACAGAACACGACATACGAAATACATGGAGGGAGAAAGAGAAAGAGAGAGAAAGGCAACAAACATAACGAGAGAGAGGTCATGCAGAGAGGGATGAGGCGGAGAAGCCAGGGGAACACGACGGCAGGCAGAGGAACCAGAATAAGGGTGGCCATAAACGTAATACTATCAATCATTGTCAGACTCATACACGTAGTATTGCGCTAACATCAAACATACTGCGAGTAATGATAATAGTAGTCGTAGTGATAGTAGTAATCGTAATACTACTAATCATAACTCAAATCGCAACACTATCAACATGTAGCACGGGTAATGATAACGGTAATCATGAATGAACGTTTCAACACAAACTCCGAAACGGAAGATTCACCCGCTTGAACCTACGCCAAGAAAACATTCGTTAGAAAACGGGTTTGCACATGATGCCTTCGAATAGGACGCCGGAAACAAGATCTCTGTGATGGGTAAAACGCCCGATTGGGCATTATCGCCTTTCCGCCACCGCACCAAAACTGCACCCAGAAAGTCCTCTCGCACGAAGTTGCCGAGGGGCTCGAAAGCGAGCTTCGCGCGCGGCTCAGCGCCATCGATGCGAACGCAGGCGGTCTCATCGCCAGCGCTAGCGGCAGTACAAGTTTGCCCTGCGTAGTGGCCCGTCCCGATGCGGACGTCGATGCCCTTTTGACTAAGAGGGCCAACGTTGCCCACAGCACGCGCCGCAAACGCCCCCGCCCGCCGCAGGCCATCGGCCCAGGCATCATCGGGCAAGTCCTCACCGAGATGCGTGGCCGTCTCCCTTCGGCCTCGCCGGAAAGGCTTGCGACCGCAGGCGGCGCGCCGCCCTGACCCGCGCAGTTGTCCTGACCCAGGCCCTGGCGCCCACCGTAGCGAGCACCGCTAGAGGCCTCCTAGATGGGGTCGGATTAGATGTGGTCGGAGGATCTCGCCGCATTGCCGATGGATCGCGGATACATCGTCGATACATCGGCGATGCACTGGCGACGTCGGCGGTGCATCGGCGACGTCGGCGTGGAGAAAATTGGGCCCACATCGAGCCGCATCACCGATGCATCGGCGATGCATCGGCGAAGCGGCGCGATCCTCCGACCCCATCTATCGGGAGCGGCCAAGAGGGGGGTGTCCAAGAGGGGGGGGTGCAAATCATGACCGGCGGCATGTGCGCGGCCCAGCGGGGGGGCCTGGGACGCAATAAAATAAGAAGAGGCGCCATGAAATCTTAGGAAAAATCATGGCCCGCGCCATGAAATCCACCCCCCCCTAGTCATCACCCCCCTCTTTTCCGCTCCCGAATCTACCCCGTCCAAATCTAGGAGGCCTAGAACCGCCTGGTCCTCCACGCCCTCCGCGTCGCACCCCTTCGCCGTCGCCGCTTCCGCCGATCCCACACCCGCACGCCCACCTCGCCCGCGCGGGCGCGCTGCCAAGAGGCAACACCGGGCGACGCCGCCACCGTGGGGGTCGCGCGCGCGGCCGGTGCCCTGCGCGCTGGGCATCGGGGCGGCGGCGGCGGCGCCTGCGACGACGATCTTGAGCCGAATGGCGCTAGGAGGAAGACCGAAGATGGCAGGGAGGAAAAGGAGGAGAAGGAGGAGGAGGAAGAGGAGAAAAAGCATCGGGAGGACGAGGAGGAGAAGGTTCAGGAGTAGGAGGAGGAGGACGAGAGACTGGAACTTCGGGGTTGGAAGCTATACGGGAGAGAGCATGGCGGCACTCAGATGTATTTTGTGACGCTTTTACTCACCAGACCATGAGAAGGTATACACCTGCACTCGGGCCAAACAGCTGCGACCTCTCCTATTTGAGTCGGGATTGTGCGGGCGATCGAGCGGCTCTGGCGGAGAAGAGAGACCAAAGGAAGAAGGGAGCAAAAACTGTCCAACCCCAAACACACTCTAAATTCGGCAAGAAGACGCCGTCGCTGGCTGACCTGACGGGCGCGCGCGTGAGGGCGCAAGCTAATCCACTGTAATGGTGAGCCCGCTCGTGCTCTTAAGAGCGGCACAGGAGAAGCTCGCATGTGTGAGTGATGCTGTTGTGAGCCACCACCTTGGGTCGCATTGTGTGATGCTGAGGAGCAGCGGAAGACGACTGAGATGATTCACCGCTGACGGATGGGGACGAGCAAGGAGAAGGGGAGAAAGAACAGGAGGAAACGAGGAGAGGGCGAACAAGATGAGAATGATAGTAAGGGGTGGAGGGGGTGGGCATGAGAAAAGCGAGGTCAGGAGGAGGGTACATCAGGGGAGGACGAAGAGGGGCAGCAGCCGAGCGTGCGCTAGCAACTAGCGCGTCTTGGTGAGCAGCGTCCCCGCCGACTCCCTGAAGCTGAGGCCTCCGCCGCGTGGCGGGGTCGGCGCGCGCGCGCTTCGAAACAGCGCGCGACGTTGGAGGGACTCGCTGTCCCGAACACTCCGACTGTGCAGGGCACTTTCATATCCCAAAGCGGGGCTGTCGCCTTGAGGCGACTGTCTGTCAACGAGGCGCTTGCCGCAGCAATGGAGAGTGCTTTTGCGGAGCCTTCTCCGATGCCTCGGTACGTTCGGGGAGGGCCAGCCCCCTCCCACAGGGCCCGAGCTGATCAACATGTTGTGTGTGTGTGTGTGTGTTCAATTGGGTTTCGCTTTCCATCATTCGGTATTCGTTTCGCCTCTGCCGCAACAACAACCGAAACGAAACGGTCCACGAAACCGTCAAAACACCGTTGAGCTCGAGCTCTGTCTTCTCTGAAGGCCCAGAAGGCCTCTGACCATGTGAGAAGTTCGCTGAGCCTTTTTCGAGGCCCCGCCACGTTCGGCTCAAGCCTGCCCCCTATCGCTGCCCCCCCTCAACACGCGCCACGGCTGTGCCCAGCCGGCCTCCCCCGTCCCCCGCCTCCTCGACCCACTGCGTTGTGCAGGTTGTTGGTATGCGCAGCCCTGGTAAGGATCACCGAACCCTCGCCGCGCCCTCCAGGCCAGCAGCCTTCCATCGCCTCCGATTTCGCCCGCTCCCCTCCCCACCCTCTGCAGTTAGTCAGCGTGGGGGTTAAACGCTCCTCTCCCCCGTCCGCGTGCGAAGAAAGCCCCGCCCCCCGCCCCCACCGACACCCCTTCCGTCTCTGGGACCCTCCGGAATGCTGCACCGCTCTCCCCCCGCAGTGCTGAACAAGGTACCGCCAATCCACTTCTCCCCCCTGTCCGCAGTGACGCAATCTCCCCCGACTGCGCGCCGGAAGTGTCCTGCCCTCTCTCTCTCTCCGCGCACTGCTTTACTACATCCCGGATGTCAAACGTGTTGTTGTTGCACGTGGTCTTTTTAATCGGAACGTGTTCGGTGTTTATGCGTGGTGTTCCCGCTGCAGCGTCGGCATCATTTCAGGATCGGCGCTCGGCTCCCGATGTTCAGAATGGCGCTCTCGCACCAAAACAGGCTACTTTTCTGGATCCGACTGTCTCCTACCCGTTGTCGCCCCGTTCCACGCCCCTCATACGTCTTCTCCTGGTCCTCCTGCTCCTCCCGATCATTCCACTCCTGCTCCTGCTGCCGCTGCTGCTGCTGTCTTTCATCAGCATCCTCCTTTTTCCACATCCCCCTCCTCTTCCTCCTGCTCATCCTCCGCCTCCTCCTCCTCCTCCTCGCATCCCTCCTCCTCCTCCACCACATGCTTCCCCTCTTGTAGTTTACGCAGCTCCCCTTTTTTATGAATGCGCATGGCATGATGCTTTCCTTGCGGAAGCTCAAGGTTCGCCACGACATACGTCGGCGGATAAAAGAAAAGCTCAGCGCAATGGGAAGGGATGGACAGAGGGAATGGCTGGATGACAGTTATGGCGCTGCCGCTCGACCACCCCCTCTTTCCCCTCCCCCCTCGCAAACTCGCTTTACCCCTGCGCCTCCTGCCACCCACCACCCCTACTCGACTTCCTCATGGGGGATGTGGGTGAGCCGGGCGTGAGCGTGTGTGGGTGGTGGGGGACAATGGGCCAGGAAGGGAGGCAGCGACATCGGCCCGTCGGTTTGGGGGCGCGGCGCTGCTGAACCACCTGCTAGAAGTGAGCCGCGTGCCTGCTGCGGGCCGGACGCGCACGCATACACCCGCGCGGAGCAGCGCGCACGGAGCAGCGCCCACTTGTTCCGTCTGCGGCGACGACGTGGGACACGAAGCGTCGATCAGCACCAAGGCGGAGGGACGCACACGCAACACACACACACACACACACGCACACGCACACACGCACACACACACAAAAACACACACGCACACGCACACACATCACACACGCACACACGCACACACGCACACACACACACACACACACACACACGCACACACACACGCACACACACACACACACGCACACGCACACACAAAAACACACACGCGCGCACAACGCGCGCGCGCACACACTCACTCTTTTTGAGCGTCGCGGGCCGAGCAGGGCCATGCAGCGTCCGGCGGTCACCGCTGGCGCGAGCGCGCCGGTAGAGAAACAAAGACGTCCCTCAAGCGGCACAGCACGGGCCAGAAGCCGGCAAGAATTGGGATTAGGTCGGGCCTGTCCCCCTACAGGTTGATTTAGGACGAAGCATAAAAGATAGTCAAACACTGGTCAAACAAATACGAACAACTCGTCCCGAAACTGTTTTTGACTATTTTTGAATACTCCTCCTGTAGAGGGACGTGCCCGACTTAAGAT